CCCGGGTTCCCGCCATTCTCCTGCCTCAGCCTCCCGAGTAGCTGGGACTACAGGCGCCGCCACCACGCCCGGCTAATTTTTTGTATTTTTAGTGGAGACGGGGCAGAAGAGATCTTATAATGCAGTTCCCTGCGCCCCCCAACAGAAAAAAAACGCGAGGATTTTGCCCTCATTGCAATAAAGGAAATCACTGGGCTAGTCAGTGCCACTCAAAATTTCATCAGAATGGCACCCCCTGTGGGGAAACGAGAAGGAGGCCTGGACCCGGGCCCCACAAACAATGGAGGCATTCCCCATCCAGCCCACAGCCCCGTCTCAGGGATGGGTTCCCGGAGGCACATTGATTCCCTCTCCCCAGGAACACCCTGAAGCGCAGGATTCGATCTCCCAGAGAACAGGTGTAACGTTAGTGGGAGGAGACAAACCCACCAAACTTCCCACTGGTATTTGGGGACCTTTGCCAACAGGATATATGGGATTAATTTTGGGTAAAAGCTGTCTTAATTTACAGGGCATTACTATAGTCCCAGGAGTTATGGATTCTGATTATGAAGGAGAAATTCAAGTAGTGGTAACGTCACAAGATCTTTGGGGTTTTGAACCAGGAGAATATATTGCTCAGCTACTGCTTATTTCCTGCAAGTTACACCCTTCTCCACGGAGGTCGGGAGTTCGAGACCAGCCTGTCCAACATGGAGAAATCCCATCTCTACTAACAATACAAAATTAGCCAGGCGTGGTGGTGCATGCCTATAATCCCAACTACTCAGGAGGCTGAGGCAAGAGAATCTCTTGAACCCAGGAGGTGGAAGTTGTGGTGAGCCGAGATCTTGCCATTGCGCTCCAGCCTGCAGTCTGGGCAACAAGAGCGAAACTCCATCTCAAAAAAAAAAAGAAAAAAAAAAAAAGACTTGATATTATCTGGTCCTGAACTCACCAAAGGTCCATCTGAGCCTGACATTTTTGTGAAAAGACTGCAAAAGACAAATTCTATTTCATTAATAGATACAGAGCTATTCTAGTTATCTATTTCTTCTTGTGACTGGTAGTTTGCACCTTTCAAGGATGTTTTTCCATTTCATTTAACTTGTTGAATATATTGACATAAAAGTTGTTTACGACACATATTCCTTTATTATTCTTTTAGTAGCTGTAAAATCTGTTGTAATGCTACCTCTCTCATTTCTGATGTTAATAACTGACGTCTTCTCTCTTGTTTTTCCTGATCAGTCTAGCTAGAAGTTTAACAGTGTTTTTGATGTTCTCACAATGTGTGAGATGTATCTCATTTCATTTTTCCCCCATTACTTTTGTTTGCGATTTCATTAATTTTTCACTGTGGTCTTAATATTATCTGTGTTCTGGTCTTTGCTTTGCGTTTACTTTAATCTTTTTTTTTCCCTTGTTTCTTAAGCTAAGGCCATTGACTTGAGGCCCTTCTCCTTTTCTGACACAGGCACTTAGTGCTATAAAGAAGTTCCAGGAAGGCACTGGCAAGGACTGGGGTCTCTGGTTACCAGGGAAAGGGGTCCCTTTGGCCCATGGGCTGAAACTGGAACCATCACCCTGTCATCTGTGGGCAACAGACTCGGACACTGAGCTGTTCAGAGAAAAACAAAACGTGCCTAGAAAGGCTTAATCCCATCCTGGAGGGAGCCCTGGGAGCCATGGGGGCATTGAAGAGATCCCCTCAATCCCAAGCGGTCCTTCAGGGTCCTATGAGACCTGTCTTAGTCTACTTTTTCTTGGTTATAACAGAATATCTGGAATTGAGTAATTTATAAAGAAAAGGAATTTGTTTCTTACAGTTATGAAGGCTAAGATGGCCGAGGTTGAGGAGCCACATCTTGGGAGGGCCTTCTTGATGGTAGGGACTCTGCAGAGTCCCAGAGTGGTTCAAGGCATCTCGTGGTGATGGAACTGAGTGTGCTAGGTCAGGTCTGTCTGCCTTTTCTTATAAAGCCACCAGTTCCATTCCCATGATAACTCATTCATTCTTTAATCCACGAATGGATTAATTCATTCATGGGAACTCTACCCCCATGACCCAGTCACCTTTTAAAGGCCTCGTCTATCAATACTGCCACATTGGGGATTAAGTTTCAACACGAGTTTTTGGGGGGACAAATATTCAAACCATAGCAAGACCTCAGGACTCAGCCACCCTCTGTCATAGGTGACTCTGAGTGACAGTTAATTTACTCAAGTGGGACCTCAGGGACCAGGACAGAGCAGGACCTGAGAGACACACACGTATATACACTTCCTCTTACCTGGCTTAATGGTCACTTGAACTTTGACCCCAAGGTCAATTCCAGTTTTCTCAATCCCACACCAATAACTGTCAGCATCATCTCTTTTAAGATTCTCCATGGTCACGGTGAATATGCGGTTTTTCTGATTGTCCCTGATGGACACCCGATTCTTCTTTACCTCCTGCTCTGATCCATTTGTTCTAACAAGGATGTTACAGCCATTCCAATCAGCTCCTCGACACCACCACTTCAAGTAAGTTTCCCAGCCTGAGCCGTAAGCACACTGCACAGTCAACGAGCCCCACTCCGAGCCATTCACTATTGTTGGACCAGTGATTTCAGTGGCAATGGAGTAGCCTGGAAAACACAAATTCATGTGCCGTCACCTCCCACCCCAAGGGCAGGGCCACAGCCTCCTGCATTGGGAGTAGTGGCCAAATCCAACTGCCTCATAACAGTCAAGGAAGGAATACATTTTCCACAAGACAAATCTTTGTCCTTCAAAATTCCACTGGGTCAAAGTCACCAGGAAAATCACTGAAGAGCACAATTGCAGATCCCCAATGAAACACAAATGTTGACACTGAGCAATAATAGCTTCCTGCAGTTCACCCCTCTCCCTCTCCCTATGGCCAACACATCATTATATTCCAAGGAACGCTCTTTTGCAACCATCTTTGTGTTATACTGGTCTGATGGGGAGGAAATTGCAGAAGACCCTTTTCCAAGAGAATGATTGCTGCCTTGACAATTGGCTATTCCTGGTGATTCTGATGGTTTCTGGTGGCTCTGCTGTAGTTAATCACCCTGAATGAATCCCTTTGAAATTGACCAAATAGTGATACCAACTGGTCTGTATGTGCTATGGGATCCACATCACACAGATCTCCATTTCGCCATACATTGTTATAAATTCCAGTTCCAAAATTCCTAGGAAAAGCTAACTTAGATAAACGCAAGTAAAGGTTAGGTATAAACAGAGCAGCACCCACTCCACACTCTCCTGCATCTTATAAGTTCTTCTCTAAACATAATGGACATGATTCAAGTCAGCTAAAGGGTGAGGGATGGGGCATACCTAATTAGCTCCACTTTTCAAACAATTTGCTCCAGGACAAGACCAGTCTGCATGAACTTGTCAGCCTAATCTTTCACTTGAAAACAATTCAAAACAGTGGAAATACCTTAAGTGAGACCTTTGTCAGAAAATCTTTAAATTCAACTGACCTAAAGGGAGACCCAGCTAAAGAAACGATTGATTTTGATTATTTGTGCACCGGTAATAAAGCGTAGCTGTGATTACTGCAGCATAAACTTGAGATCGAACTAGAAGCACATTGGAGCACTTGAAGAAGCCCTGGGAGCAATTCCCATGGAAGGAGAGAAGTTGTCTCTAAAACGCCAAGAGACACCCAAGGTCATGGTTAAGAGCTCAGGCTGTGCCAGAGGGCTTGGGTTTGAATCCTGGCTCTACCACTTACAAGTTTTGTGAACCTGGGCAAATTAACCTCTCTGTGTGATATGGTTTGGCTATGTCCTCACCCAAATCTCATCTTGAATTGTAGCTTCCATAATTCCCACGTGTTGATGGGGGGACCCGGTGGGAGATAATTGAATCATGGGGTGGTTTTCCCCACACTGTTCTCATGGTAGTGAATACATCTCACGAGATCTGATGGTTATATAAAGGGAAACCCCTTTTGCTTGGCTCTTATTCTCTCTCTTGCCTGCTGCCATGTAAGACGTGCCTTTCACCTTCCACCATGACTGTGAAGCCTCCCCAGTCATGTGGAACTGTGAGTCCATTAAACCTCTTTTTCTTTATAATTTACCCAACCTCGGGTATGTCTTTATCAACAGCGTGAAAATGGACTAACACACTGTGCCTTCGTTTCCTATAAGTGGGAATAATAATGGCATCTACCTCTATGTTACTGTATTATGTTTGTTATTATTATTATTACCCCTGGAGGAATGAAAACTTTAGACTTCATTGCAATGTCTTGAAAAACCAGGGTTCACCATGGTAGGAGTGGAAGACAGTTTCACCACAAACGGGCAGAGCTGCACAACCCGAGGAATTCCTGGAACAGAAATTGGACTCCATGCCCAAATCTGCTTTCTATGGCATCCGAAGGGAACTAAGAAACTGCACACGACCTCCTGGGAAAAGATGGATTTGGGGGCTTCATTTGTTCACTCTGAAAAAAGTTCTGCATCAGAATGGAAAAACAACAATTAAGGTAAATATTTAAAGAAAAAATACATCTGGAAGTTATATAGGAAATAAGAGCTGGGTGTGGTAGCTCACACCTGTAATTTCAGCACTTTGGGAGGCTGAGGCAGGAGAATCGCTTGAGCCCTGGAGCTTGAAAGCAGGCCTGGAAACATAGCGAGACTAAATAAATAAATAAATAAATATTAGCTGGGTGTTGCACTGTATGCCTGTAGTCCTAGCTACTTACTTAGGAGGTTAAGGTGGGAGGATGGCTTGAGCCTGGGAGGTCAAGGCTGCAATGAACCCTGATCCCAGCACTGTACTCCAGACTGGGTGACAGAGCAAACCCTGTCTCAGGAGGAAGGAAAGGAAGCAGAATACGTCTGAAAATTTTTTACAGAAAATAAATTTGAAGCCAGGCATGGTGGCTCACACCTATAATCCCCACACTTTGGGAGGCCAAAGTGGGAGGATCACTTGAGCCCAGGAGTTTGAGACCAGCCTGGGCATTAAAGTGAGTCCTCATCTCTACAAAATAATAATAATAATAATAATAATAATCGACTTTAAAAGAAAATAAATTTGAGATTGGAAGGAAAAATTTTCTTACAAAGCTTGATCTGAGTGTAGATAATATAAGAAGTACATAGATTTGTTACATTTTAGCAGAAATGAAAACACTGCATATCAAAATTTGTTGACATGACAGCCAAAGCTGTACTCAAATATAAATCCTTGGAAAAAAATGTTTGATGATTCCTCAAAAACTTAAACATAGAGTTAACATAGGATTCAGCAATTATACCCCTAGATATATACCCAAAAGACCTGAAAACATATCTCCACACAAAACCATGCTATGAAAGCTCATAACATTATTCCTAACAATGTTTAAAAGGTGGAAACAACCCTAAGGTTCATTAACAAATGACTGGAGAAACCAAATGTGGTATATCCACTGTGAAATATTATGCAGCCATGAAAAAGAATGAAGCTCTGATTTGTGCTACAACACTGAGGAACCTTGAAACATAATGCTAAGTGAAAGAAGCCAGACATGAAATGTCACATGTTGTATGATTCCATTCATATGAAATGTCCAGAACAGGCAGACTCCTGGAGACAAGAAAGTAGATTAGTGGATGCCAAGGGCTGGGGAAGGGGTTAACTGCTAATGTGTATGGGGTTTCTTTTTGAGGTGAGGAAAATGTTCTGGAATTAGATAGAGGTGATCTTTGTACAACTTTGTGAATATACCAAAAGCCACTGAGTTACACACTTTGAGTAAATTTTATGGTGTATGAATTATATCTCAATTGGACAAAACTAAATTCTTAGTCTTAACATAGTTTAATTAATTTAGAAAGAAAAATAATCACAATATTTCATTTATTAAAGATAACAAGTGCTAATCCCAAGGAAATAAGAAGAAATTCTACCTATAAGAAATGAATAATTAGATAATAAAATCAGTTAACATTAACCAACCAGATCTCCAAACTGACTAGTTCAATGTAGGAGAAAAGAGGATGTGGGAAAAGGAGAAGCAACAATAACGTGGAAAATCTTGTGGCACATGTAATCAAAATGAGCACCGTCATTCCTCGATATCCAGAGGGAATTTGTTCCAGGACCCTGTGGCTATGAAAATCTACAGATGCTCAAGTCCTTGATATAAAATGCCATGATATTTACATATAACCTACACACATCCTCCCATACACTTTAAATCTCTCTAGATTATTTATAATTCTAATGCAATGTAATTGCTACGTCACATATAGTTGTTAGACTGTACTGTTCAGGGAATAATGAAAAGAAAAAGTCTGTACATGTTCAGCGCAGGTAGAGGGCTTTCTTTTCCAAATATTTTCCACCTGTAGTTGGTTAACTTGACAGATGAGGAACCCATGGATATATGTGTAGGGCTGACTGTATATGACAACACATATTAAAATTTTAAATTATAAAAGGATGCTTTATAACTACAGAACTTTATGCTAATATATACTTAATAATATTGTTAGCTTTCTTGGTGGAGGGGAGGTGGAAATGATATAATTTATTCAAAAACAAGCAAAAAAAACCCTGAATAGATAATAATCATGGTGGGGGTGGGGGGGAATCCAAACTATTCAAAGAATTTACCCTAGATCAAGGCTCTGTTGTCAGATGGCCTTATAGGTAATTTTGCAAGATTCTAAGGGAAAAAAATCCTTTATGTTCTAATTCCAGAGCATTCAAAAATGGAAATCTGGCCGGGCACAGTGGCTCACACATGTAATCCCAGTACTTTGGGAGGCCAAGGTGGGCGGATTACGAGGTCAAGGAGCCAAGACCAGGCAGACCAACATGGTGAAACCCCGTCTCTACTAAAAATACAAAAAAGTTAGCCGGGCATGGTGGTGCACACCTGTAATCCCAGCTACTTGGGAGGCTGAGGCAGGAGAATTGCTTGAACCTGGGAGGCAGAGGTTGCAGTGAGCCGAGATTGCACCACCACACTCCAGCCTGTGCAACAGAGCAAGACTCCTCAGATAATGATTACGCACTGTCTAGCTGCCTGTCTTCCCCTTTATACTCTGAGCTCTTTAGAGGAAGTCTCTCAGCCGTAGCTAAGAACCAGTCAAGACCATGTATGGAGGCGTCTAAACCATCCAGATGCTTGAGCCCGCCATGACTGACTGAGTGGGTCTGAGCCGGAACCCGAGTATCTGTGCTCTTTAAAAGTTCTTCAAGAATGGACTCATTCATTAGTTCCTTCCTTCATTCATATCTGTTCATTCATCTGTTTATATAGAAGGGTCAGGGTTGAGAACCCTAAGGTTCATTGAAGTGAGTCCTTATCTCTACAAATAGTAATAGTAATAATAATCAACTTTAAAAGAAAATAAATTTGAGATTGGAAGGAAACATTTTCTTACAAAGCTTGATCTGAGTATAGATCATATGAGAAGCACATAGATTTGTTACATTTTAACAGAAATGAAAACACTGCATATCAAAATTTGTTGACATGACAGCCAAAGCTGTACTCAAATATAAATCTTTGGAAAAAAATGTTTGATGATTCCTCAAAAAGTTAAACATAGAGTTAACATAGGATTCAGTAATTATACCCTTAGATATATACGCAAGAGAACTGAAAACATATCTCCACACAAAACTGTGCTATGAAAGTTCCAACAAGAAGCTATTCCTGTTTTGTTTTGTCTTTGTTTCTGCAGCATCTAACACAGAACCTGTCAGATAACAAAAACTTGACTGCTATTTAATGAATATGGGCAGGGATGGATGAATTGGCGCTGTCATTTTCCCTGACGTGTCTCCTTCCTAAGAACAGAGCATCTCTGTCTCCAGCCCAGCCTCTGTCATTCCAGCACCTTAAAGCTCCAGCCACACTCACCTGCGAGGATGAGAAGCAGCAGAGCCTGGGACAGCCACATGGTACTGTGTCCTCTCCTCTCCTCGGTGATCACAGGTGTCTGGTGCCCTTCAGACACTTGAATCCAAGCTCGGAAGTCAATGCCGCAAACCTACTTGAATCTCCTTCAAGTTTCTTGCTCACTTCCTATTATGTCTGTAGCTACTTCTCTATTTTACATATTAGGAGAAAAGAAGTGTCATTCTTTGCTATGGTACAGTGTGTGTTGCGAGGTGTGTCCAAACTTTTGTGCATGTAGGAAAGAAAATGGGTCCAGGCCTGGTCAGGTTTGCACGGCAGTGCATGTGGGAGCCAAGGAGCAGGAGGAGCCAGGAGGAACCCAGGCATTGAGGAGCTGTGGGATCTACTGCCAGGAGGAGAGGACAGACAAGGCTGGCCATGAGGAGTGCGGGGAGAGGAGCAGTTTGGGAAGCCCACAGTGCACAGGACTCACACCCAGCCTTGCTGGAGAAAGCCCATGCCCCAGGCTCCTTCCAGGCAGCCCCACTGTAAGACATCTCATTGCCTCTTCCTGCTCTGGGCTGTCTGACCCACTGCCCCTACCCCCAGGACCGCTTCCTCTGGGGTCGTGAGTCACTCTGAAGCCACTGTGAAGCCAAGGACGGGCTCAGTGGGGAAGGTCAGGAATGGAGAAGTTGCCTTTTCTCATTAGCTTCCTCTTACCCTGATTTCATCCTCTCCATCCCTGCACACTTTCCCCTGGCTGCTGTTGGAAATTACTTGTTCTGCTGACGCCCAGACGGACTTTCCCAGTCTCTCCCCACTTTCTTTAGACGGTCCCTTCCCTCTTTCTCTGTCACCTTCTCCCTCTCCCTTTCCTTCCTGAATTGATTCATTTTGTCTCTCCTGTTTTATATTTTCCATATCTGTGGGCTTTGTTCTACATCTGGGGAGCTTTTTATATTGTTTATTTCATGATTTTACTTTCTCTTCCAATTCTTGGATCAAATATTTATTTTAGAGACTGGATTTTTATTTCAAAAAGTTTTTTTAGTTCTTTGATTGCTAATGTTTTTCAAACTCTCTTCTGTTCCTTGAACTGTATCCCACCACTCTGTGGTCAGGTCTTTGTTTTGTTGTTTGGTTTTGTTTGGTGCTTCTTTATGATGAGCCGTCCTCAAATGTCTGCTAATTCTTGGTTATCCAGTCATAGTCAAGAACGAGCTAAAGTGTAGCTAACTGAGACTTCAGAGTATATAGGAGTAAATAATATATAAAATAGCTCTGGTGGCTCACGCCTGTAATCCCAGCACTTTGGGAGGCCAAGGTGGGCAGATCACCTGAGGTCAGGAGTTTGAGACCAGCCTGGCCAACATGGAGAAATCCCATCTCTACTAAAAATACAAAAATTAGCTGGGCAGTGGCACACGCCTGTAATCCCAGCTACTCAGGAGGCTGAGACATGAGAATCACTTGAACCCAGGAGGTGGAGGTTGCAGTGAGCCGAGATTTCACCACTGCTCTCCAGCCTGGGCGAAAAAGTAGTTCCAAAAAAGACACTTGTACACGCATGTTTACAGCAGCACAATTTGCAACTGAAAACATAAGGAACCAGCCTAAATGCCCATCAAGCCATGAGTGGATAAAGACAATGTGGTGTACATATACACCATGGAATAGTATTCAGCCATAAAAAGGAGCAAAATAATGGCATTCACAGCAACTTGGATGGAGTTGAAGATCATTATTTTAAGTGAAGTAACTCAGGAATGGAAAACCAAATATTGTATGTCCTCACTTATAAGTGGGAGCTGAGCTATGAGGATGCAAAGGCACAAGAATGATACAACGAATTTTGGGGACTTAGGGGAAAGGATGGGGGGAATGAGGGAAAAAAGACTATACGCTGGGTACAGTGTACACTGCTTCAGTGACGGGTGCACCAAAATCTCAGAAATCACTATTAAAGAACTTATCCTTGTAACCAAAAGCCACCTGCTCCCCAAAAACTATTGAAATAAAATATAAAAAAGAAAAAGAAAATGAATAGTTCCAATTTATCATGCCAAATTATTTGAACCCTTGATTCTTTCTTGACTTACAAGCTACATTTTAAGGTGTGTGGGCAGAGAGGGGCCTTCTAAATTCTAGAATGAAGAGGATTGAAGTTGAGCTCCAGCATTCTCACTGCCGTGGTTTCCCCAGATATTATATTAAACTAAATAACTCCTGCTCTTTTTCTTGGGGGTCACTGCCTGCCTCAGGTATTTGGGGTATATGCAAAGATGCACATTTTTGGCCGGGCACAGTGGCTCGCATCTATAATCCCAGCACTTTGGGAGGCTGAGGTGGGTGGATCACCTGAGGTCAGGCGTTCAAGACCAGCCTGGCCAACATAGTGAAACCCCATCTCTAATAAAAATACAAAAATTAGCCCAGCATGGTGGCGCATGCCTGTAATCCCAGCAACTTGGGAGGCTGAGGCAGGAGAACACAAGAACCCAGGAGGCAGATGTTGCAGTGAGCCGAGATCACACCATTGCACTTCAGCCGGGGTGACAGAGTGAGACTCCATCCCAAAAACAAAACAAAACAGAACAAAAATGTGTTTGTGGAACTGCTCCATGAACAAAGCTCCAATTGGGTCCCCAGTCTCCATTCCCACTTCTGACCCACACTCTGCATCATACCTGCTGGCGCTGAGTTCAAAGCCTCCCGTGAGTTTTATCAGGTGGGTCAATTAGAAGCAGGGGTTGCAAAATGCAATTTATTTTATCTGCCCTTTATTCTGAGGGTACACCCAATATGCCCCAGACCAACATAACCCTAAACTTTTGACACGGCACGTCCCTAAACCAGTGTAGGGTTTATCTCCCAGTCTCTGGAGCACATCCAGTTGCTAGCCTCTTCTTGTTATCAGGTCCAATTCGCATGATGTCATAAACGCAGGGGACTACCTTTATGTTCTGGGCAATGGCTGGACGATTCAGGTTTCTTAGAATACTATGAGAAGAAGAAAATTAACGCAGTCCTGGAACAAGACTATCAAAGTATACTGTTGTCCATGCCGAGTGAATGTACCTGCCTCTGTTCCTCCTTCCTGATGGTAGTGGAAAGCATGCTTTTGCCAGATCAACAGTCACACACAACACACCAGGTTATGTTCATCTATTCTAGTAAACCTGTCACTGTTGGCACAGAAGTTGGAAATTTGGCTATTGCTTTAATATGGTGGCGGGTTTGTTGCTGTTTTGTTTTGGAGACAGGGTCTCACTCTGTTGCCCAAGCTGGAGTGCAGTGACACAATCATAGCTAACCGCAGGCTCCACCTCCTGAGCTTCAGTGATCCTCTTGCCTCAGCCTCCTGAGTAGCTGACAGTACAGTCGTGCAACATTGCACTGGCTAATTTTTTTTAAAACACTTTTCGGTAAAGAAAGGATCTTGCTCTGTTGCCCAGGCTAGTCTCAATCTCCTGGGCTCAAGTGATCCTCCTGCCTCAGCTTCCCAAAGTGCTGGGATTACAGGTGTGAGCCACCACGTCCAGCCTCTTGGTTTAGTTTTCACTAGCCCATTGACCTTGGTAAATTAAAGGCAGATCTGGTGGGACCACAGCCTTGTTTTCTTTGTCTTGGAGGGTGGCACTGATCTCTGTGTTCCTGGCAGAATGTGACATTGTTTGAGATTTACTATCTTGGCCACAGCAGAGGGACAACCTTGGAGGCTTCCACTTGGCCTTCCCCAGTCTGATCACTTTTACTGCACAGACCAGAGAGTCAATATTCGTATGCACCAGTTGCTAAGTGTATTCACTTCTATCATTTCTAAAAATCGGGGCAAGAACCACTGGGCCGCCTCTCTTGTCTCTAGGATCTTGATTTTGCCTCTGGTTCTAATCAGAACTCGCTGCCTGGTCCAAGTGCTCAGCTTGTCTCAGACCACCCAGTGACTCCACCTGCCCTCTTCCCTTCCGGAATTCTCTCAGCCCCGTTGCTCCTGTGGAGTTCAGTTATGTAACGGCATCTCCTCCCGTGAGCCTGGCCTACAGAGACAGTCACTGCTGAGCCTCTCCATAATGCTAATGCCCCATCGCCAGCATAGTTCTCATTTCCCTGGTAATTGGAGTATCCTCCAGGGCATCCCAAGGATAATACTCATTAAATACTAATTTAATTTAGTATGCTAAAGTGAAACTAGCATATTTTACCTGAAAACACAATCAAATAATTTCATGTGAGTCTTTTTAAAAACAACCTTGTTTTTTATAGCAGTTTTAGGCTCCCAGCAAAATTGAGCAGGAAGTACAGAGATTTCCCACATGCCTCCTACCCTCACACAGGCACAGCCTCCCCCATTATCAACATCCCCGACCAGAGTGGGACATCTGTTACAACTGGCGAATCCATATTGATACCTGTGACCATTTGAAGTCCAAGTTTGCATTGGGGCTCACTCTTAGTGTTGCATATTCTATGGGTTTAGACAAATGGATGATGACAGCATCCTATAGAGTAGGTTCACTGCCCTGAAGATCCTCTGTGCTTCCTTGAGCCTTTTGATCCCTTCTTCCACACCCTGCCATGATATCTTTACATCATTGAGTGTGGGGTTTTGTTGCTTCCAAGCTTCTCAGGGCCATCCCAGCAGTGCACTAGGACCACTCTCCCAGCTTTGCAGGTGGTGAGTCCTCCTACATTGCATGGATGAGTACCTCTATGTTGAAAAACCCTTCCTGACTCAGCACTATCATCCACTGCCCCGGGATCCACTCTCACACACACTCTTCTAACTGGTTCACGCCAGTGTGTATTAGTTCTCCTGTTCCCTTAGCAGTGTGTTTCTAGGTGGGCCAGGCCGACACTCAACCTTAGTTATGGGTCAGAAAGAGAAATGAGGGCAGATTCCTCAAGTAGATCCTTAGGGGGCAGCAATGTCTAGTGAGGCATCTGCTTCATTGGAGACCTCAGCATCATCTTCAACATGGGAGCTGTTACCTTCTAACAAGTGCACCTGGCTGCTCCGCAGTGGGAGGCTCACGGGCTCAGGTGAATTGTCAAATGTCCCGTCCTCAGGTTCCTACTTTTCCCTACAGGGGCCTGACTTGTTGAGGCTAAGGGTTGAGTTTTCACTGAAGTTTCACTTCTCTTAAACTTGGGTCTGGGCCTGTGTATTAGTCCGTTCTTATGCTGCTGAAAGCATTTATAAATTATAAATTCATAATTTATAAATGAAAGAGGTTTAATGGACTCTCAGTTCCACATGGCTGGGGAGGCCTCACAATCATGGTGGAAGGCAAATGAGGAGCAAAGTCACGTCTTAAATGGCGGCAGGCAAGAGAGTTTGTGCAGGGGAACTCCCCTTTATAAAGCCATCAGATCTCATGAGACTTATTCACTGTCACAAGAACAGTATGGAAAACCCCGCCCCCATTATTCAATTACTTCCCACTGGGTCCCTCCTGGTGGGAATTATGGGAGCTACAATTCAAATGAGATTTGGATGGGAACACAGGCAAACCGTATCAGCCTGATCTACAGCACATGTTTTTCTCCAGATAAAGGGAATGGGGATCCTTTCAAAAGCTGCTAAGGAGGATACCAGATGCCCACCAAAGGCATGGCCTAAAATGTTCACAGCACACTATACATCATGGCCCCGAACTTGAAACTAGCTGAATGCCCATAAATAGTGCATTTGAAAAAGATCACAAAAAC